CCCAATGCTAACACATATTTAAAATATATATAAGCCATATTCTTGTAAAATGGCAAACCACTATGGAAAGCAATCTGGATTGTCCTTGGGAAGTTGGAAGTAGAAATATCATTTGGCCCAGAAATCTCACTTGTTGTTGATTGCTGTCTAGTTGAGCATGACTCAAAGCGAACAAAAGTCCTGAAGCCTTTCTATATCTGTCATCATTTATCAAAGTTCATAGTTTCCAGAAGCTTGTTGTTTAGATAGTGGATGCCACTCCTACTTCCAAATCCGTCTTAAACTGGGAGCTCCACCAAATACTGTCCACCATGGGTAACCATTATGGCATTTGACACCCCAGTGGCACAAAGTTCAGCATCACAGCAACCCCAGGTTACCTCAGTACAGCATATTGACAAAAGAGTGCTGTATCACTTAGAATAATGTTCCTCCAAAATAGAATCAACCAATTTTTAAATACAGAGGCCCTCCCCAACGTCTTGTTGACTCTAAATGAGAGGCTTAAATAAAGAAACAACCAATATAGTATGTTTTTGTTTTTATGTCCCATTGAGTCACCTGTGATGTATAGCGACTCTATGTTCAGCAGCTCTGAACCCTTCCCTGTCCTGAGCCAGTCTGACTAATTCCAACACACCAACCCCCATTTCCCAGGTACTGTATCAATCCATCTCATCTGCTATTAGGTGTCTATCCTAAAGAAATAAGAGCTGTGATATAAACTGACACACACATTCTCATTTTTTTATTGCAGCATTATTTATAATAGCAAAGAGCTGGGCGTAACCCATGTCTATCCATAGGCAAATGGCTAAAGAATATATGGTGTATTCACAAAGTAGAATATTATGCATTACTATAAAATGCTCAAGAATTTGTGAGATGCTTTACAGCATGGATGAATCTAGAACTAATTATGCTGAGTTATATAAGTCAGTCACAAAAAGATAATTATGGTACAATACCACTAATATAAATTTTTTTTAAAAATTACATTTTTACTCCCACCAACCTTCAGATCTCATCATAAAAGTCTTTATATATTAGGAAGCTGTCAGTATGACAGTGTTAGCTATATACTTTTGAAAAAAAATGAAAGATAGGCAAGCAACATGTGGCATCATCCTTAATGAGTTAGCCCAAAAGAAGCACTTCTTTGACAGTTTGAGTCCATCATTGGCTCTTAGGGAGAAAGATGGTCAGGTTCTTCCCATGTGATATTCAGCCTACACAAACTCACTAGAGGGTCAGCTAGGAATCCATTCCAACCTGACAGCAATGAGTTTTTAAAAAGTGTTTATCTCAAGCATCCACATACTATATGAACATCTGTTCTATTAAGAAAAAGTTGAGGTCCACAATGGAGATGTGTTCCCAGGGCATACTTGATTATACCTGAATTCAGTGTTCTGTGTTAAAGAAACTGAATGTGTGGGATGAAGCTTAAAGAAACCCCCATTCCTCCTATAGCCAGTCTTCAGATATTTCCATCTTTTGGCTGACCACACTTGTTAAGGTAGTATTTCTCAAACTATTGTATGCAAGACTAATTTCTGCTTTTTCCAGTTCTTCATGAACCAATACTATTGGAAAACACAATAACTGATTTCTAGAATTAAAACCTTCTTAAATGTTATGGAAATGTCACATTGTTATAACAGTTTCACTCCATTATTATATTTATCTCATTGCAAACAAGTAACAAACAGGTAAATTATCAACACACTAGTGTAGTGTCAGTCCCATTTTTTTAGTAGAACCAGTTCACAGAATTGAATCAATGCTGGTATACTCCAAACATATAGTTAATAGGAATAATAAGCAGTGAGCTGGAGGAGATTCTGACCCCTCTATCAGTCCAGTAACATAGAACTCATTCATTGCCAGTGAGTCAGAAATAACTTATAGTTAGTCCTCCAGTGGGTTTGTGGAGACTAAATTATATGGGAAAAGACTGCCCATCCTACTCCGACAGAACCACAGGTGGGTTTGAACCAGCAGAGAGGTGCCACCTTTGAGATAGCAGTGCAGCATCCTAGAGACCATGCCATCCAGCACCCTGGAAGATGGATGGATAACAGCTGATTGTATGTGTGACTGTTTAACACTCAGTAACCCCATCCACTCATAAATGAGGCCAAATAAACCTTAGAATCGAATCGGTGCCGCTCCTTTATCCTTAAGGATAAGGGTAGAAGAACAGAAGAAGGAAAGGAAATCAGAGATGCTTGATACCTGACTCCTCATTTCTAGAGAGATCTGTAGCTGTCTATAGGCATGTGGAATGCTCTGTATTTAACAGTGACATTTATGTAAAATAGTACATGACTATTATTGTGGCCCCAATGATCAAATTCACTTATTCTCTCAGACACTTTAATTGCATAGAGCTAAGGCAAGAAAAGGAGTTTCTCACAAGAGAAAGAAACAGGTCAGAGAATAGGGTAAGATAGAATTAGAAATATATAAGGAAATTGTACTGATCTGGGGACCGGGGATTTGTGCATTATAGGAACAAATTTAACTAACAAGTTAATGTTGGTCATTTTCTTAAACAAGCTAAATTAAAGGCTTTTAGGTTAGTGTGAAAATATATTTAAAGCATGTAATAAGATAAAATCATCTTATTAAAAAATAAATGTTGTCAGTGACATACAGAAATTGGCAATATTTTGATTATTCCATCCTTTTCTTTTGGGTTAAATAAGAGAGTAACTCATACAATTAATAGTTATTGATAAATCACATAAAGGGTTTTTTTTTATCCTTCCCAGAAACTAGACAAAGAATGCTTCTAAAAACTATGTAACAAACCTTTTGGCAAGTGAAGTGGTTTTATTACTTACTTTCAACAAAATTTCAAAAGGAGCTAATTGAATTGTCAACCAGTTGATCATTAAATAAGTTTTGCTTTAAAAAAAAAAAGGAAATCTTACTGATTGCTTACAATGTGATTTTTATCACATATAACTTGGAAACTATACAAAGTTATCACTAACTTGGAAAGTATTCAAAGAATTTGCATAACATTTCTGTAACATAATTCTCCCAAATCACTAGTTATTTATTTGAATAAGGTTTCTAATTTTTAAAAATCTATTCTTTAAAGAAGGGAGAATGTTGATGTTGACTCCTGTCTCCTTCTAATAACTGTTGTTGTTGTGTGCCATAGAATCGGAACTGACCCAAAACTGACCCTCTGCTGGATTTTCAGAGGCAATTAATCACAAGTAAGGAGATTGCCCATCCTTCTCCTGTGGAGCAGCTGTTTGCCTCGAACCTTGTGCCTTTGTGATTGCAGCACAGCTTCTTGACACTAGGCCATCAGAGCTCCCTAATAATTAGTAATTTCTATATATAAAAGAGAGCTTTGTGGCTTAATGATAAGAAGTTGTGTTACTAATTCAAAGGCATGTGATTTGAATCCATCAGCTACTCCACAGGTGAAAGATGGGCAGTCTCCTACGGTGTGATTTACAACCTCTGAAAACCCACTTAGAAGGTCAGCCATGAGTCGGTTCTGACTCAACAACACAGAGTAATAACTGTGTGTGTGTGTGTGTGTGTGTGTGTGTGTGTGTGTGTGTGTGTACACACACATATAAATATTTAGGTGTATCTTGCCCATCTCTTTAAACTAAATATATATATGTTAATCCATTTCTTTAAGAGATGTTTTAATAATATTTTCTTATAATTACTTATCAAAGCATATTTGTACTTGGGTAGCTTTGGCAAGTTGTATTGAGAATTATAAGGAAAACTCAATTCAGGAGAATTTGTTTTTTAAATAAAATTTTTCTTTTATACTGCATTACTTACAAAGTTGTATATATAGTTTTTCACGCCGGATCTTTCCCATTTCCCTTAGCCACCCCTCCCGTCCCCAATCAAATTGTGTGACCCGACGATTAACCCACACACACCTCCACCCCCCCACCATCCACTCACTCCCTCAAAACCACCACCACCCTGCCCATCCTCACCCCTCTGCTCCCCACCTCTGCTGGATTCTCATATATGATCTACAATAATGGTCTCATTCAGTATTTGTCAGGGAATTTTAAAATTTCTTAGAGACTCATGGTCACAAGAAATTTTTTAAAGTTTAAGTACCATTTGTTTATAATTATTTTGTTATAGAAAAATGTTTAAGAATGATGCTAACATGTCAAACCATGAAAGTATACATTAGCATGAACTTTCTAGGGAATGTAAAATGAAAATGTGAGTCAAAGGAGAAAAAATGCAAACCTATTTCTCAGTAGTAAAGAAGAACTTTCTTTAAAGTGTCTATTTACAGTATACTGGTAATTATGTAGGTTATTCATTTAAACTTCTGATGAAAAAGAATTTTTTATATTGCCTTTAAAATGGAGTGAAGATAATGAATTTTTTTCCTAATAAAAAAAATAAGTAAATGAGTACAAAGGTTTGAAGACCACTTGCTCTCCAAGGCATAACCCCACTGCGAGAATGGAAAGGGATGTTCGCACTATTTAAATGCTCCCATTCAGCATTGCTAACTTGAGTAGGCTAAGCGCAAATTGCGTATGAGCCTTTGTAGCTGGGTTCGGTTAGAGTAGGTTAAAGGTGACGACGAGTGTACTCGAACTCACAGTGACCCTATGAACAATGAATCTCAACCTTGCCCTGTCTTGTGCCATGTTCATCACTGAAATAAGAAACAGGCGCACTGAGGGGTCTGCATAGGAATCAGCCACAGAAAGAGAAGCATCTTACCAATCAATGCATGCACAAAGTGAATAGAATTTTTTAGATTTTAAACTAGCAAAAGATACTATAAATCAAGACGTGAGTAATAATGGGTGAACAGTAGTAGATAGTCAACAACTAGAAGCACTTTCTGGAAACACTTCTGATAATAGGAATGCAAAGTTACGGGCCTGCCTGGTTGGGGAAACCTGACCACCTTTGTTTAACCTGTAAGGGTTCCGTTCCACAACTCATCTCTCTCTTATTTTCTTGCCTTCCAGTCACTGCTCAGCATTCCCGGCTCTCCATTCCTCTCCCGCCACAACAGCAAAAGCAGCATCTTCAGTTTCCGGGGGCCCGGGCGGTTCCGAGACCCGGGTTCGGAGAACGAGTTTGCAGATGACGAGCACAGCACAGTGGAGGAGAGCGAGGGGCGCCGGGACTCGCTCTTCATCCCCATCCGGGCGCGCGAGCGCCGCAGCAGCTACAGCGGCTACAGCGGCTACAGCCAGGGCAGCCGCTCCTCGCGCATCTTCCCCAGCCTGCGGCGCAGCGTGAAGCGCAACAGCACGGTGGACTGCAACGGCGTGGTGTCCCTCATCGGCGGCCCCGGCTCCCACATCGGCGGGCGTCTCCTGCCAGAGGTGAAAATAGATAAGGCAGCTACCGATGACAGTGTAAGGAAGTAAACAAATAGATCGAGGCTAGGCATGGCAGTCTCTCCCGCTCCTGTCCTCTCTTCCCTGCGCTGACCATTTGACCATTCCACCTCATGTGTCCCCTCCACAGTCTCCCCCTAACTCTTTTTACCCTATATTTTTTCCTTCTCTTCCTCTTGATTTCTTACTACTTGTTTTTCAGTCCTTTCTCTCTTACTTTCCTTCTTTTATTCTTCACTTTGATTTCTCCCGTCTTCCTCCACTGTTCCTTATTATATTCTTTTTGCTCCCCGTCGGTTCTATTTGACCTCCTTGTTTCTCTTCATCCTTGCATCTCTCTATCTTTCTCTCTCCCTCCCCCCCCCCCCCCACCCCTGCTTTGACTGACTGAATGCCTCTGGCCAGCGGATCCTACCCAGATGGAATGAGAATGGCGTATTGCCGTTGACCGATGACCACCAGTGACCCAAGTCTGAGCCGGTTTGGAACTATCATGGCTTCTCTCTCTCACCAACTCTTCTCCTTTCCTAGGGAGACAGCTTGGAACTTAAAGCTCTTATTATTTTTTTTCTTTCTATTAGGAAGTCTTCTGTCATTTTTTGAATAGTTTTCCAGCTCTCTGCAAGGAGATGCTGTTTTTCCAAAGAGAAACGTGTCCATGCTGTGAGGGTGAGAGATATGCATGTGGAAAAGGCAAGGAGAGGGTGAGGAGACCAGTGTGAAACTGGACCTGGACTTTCCTAAGGGATGAAACTGGAAGTAAAGGAAGGAAGAGTGGGAGGCTGGGGCAAGAACACATGGTGTATGGGGGAGGAAGGGAAGCAAAAGATGAATTTTAAATGTAATCAAATGTCAGGCTCAGAGGAGTTGCGTGTAATAGCTTCACAAAAATCACTTGTCTAGGGGTTTGAATAATGGTTTCTCTCTTTGGAAAAGCCATCTCTTAACATTTCTTTAAATTCTAAGCTGTTTATACCGTTTTTAAGTTTTAAATTCATGTAACCTCAACGATCCTAATCCTTCCTGCCTCGAATTCTCTAACTTCCCCTGGTCCTTCCTTAGCTGTTATAAGCTCTTGGAGATAGCATGTCAGGCAATTTTATTCTAACACCTCAGTGTTCTCTAACACAGCATGGAGCTGACCAGTCTTAATTAGCATGATGCATGTGTGGAAGTAAACTGGACAATGGTGGATGAAATTACTCAGACTGTGCTGTAATTAGCATTTGAGAGCAGTTGTTGCTTCTACAGATAAAAATTCAGAAGTCAGTTTGGAGGCTGGGTTTTCTCTCCCGATTTTTTTCTTTTTATAGCACAATACTTTCTTCTTTACATTTGTTCAGCCTTTTACAAATAAAAAACCCCTACTTTTGAAGTCATGATTTAATCTGAAATGAGTAAAGGCTGACAAAGTCAAGATGATTATTCTGTTCCCTGGAAAGAGTAACAGGCTGAGAGAACTTGTTTATCTTAAATTACTCGGCTCATCAGTAGCTCATCAGAAGCTCAAAACTTCAGTCTCTCCCTTAACTTTGTTGTCTTCTCCACCTAGTCTTTAGCCGTTACTCTTCAGGAAGAGGACTGTTTCTTTAAGATCCACAATAGAAGTGTCCATAGAGTCTCCTCAAAACCAAATAGTTGATTGAAATAAAAAGTTATAGATTATAATCTTTAAATTTAATTTTTCTTTTCTTTTCACTGATTATGTGTCCAGGGGCGCTCTAATGACAGAGATTGTAAAGAGTTGCTCTGCCAACCACCTCTCTGTCAGCTCACAGCCACCAGCCACCCCAAGGGAGAAAGATGGACAGTCTCCTTCCATGTAATTTACAGCCTCCAAAAACTCACTGGGGGTTCAGCTAGAAGTCCGTTCAGATTCAGTGGGAATGAGAGAAAGAGAATTATGTGTCTAGGGTAAATTTTACTTCTAGAATTTGATAATTTAGAAATTTTATTTAAAAAAATAAGCAATCTCAAAAAAATGTGAGCTGGAACAGCACTGGCAGTATAGGTGGCACAGCTAAAATTTGAAGAATGACATTGAATTTTGGAATCCTGACAGTTTTTTAAAATGTTATAGACTGGTAATATCTCTTGCTTTTTCTCTCATGAGAAAAGGTGGCCAGAAAGAAGCTTGAGGCAAATGAGTGGCTTTGGAGTATTGTTTTTGTGTGTTTGTTTTATCTTGGTTTTAGCAACTTCTGTTGTGCTGTGTGGGAGAAATAATTGAAAGCAGATGGCAAGAGAGGTTTAATAACTTGTGGAGATGAAACTTGAACCAAGATCTTTCTGATGCCAAAGAAAACTTGCTGACAGCTTAAATATTAGCTCCTTTGGGAAAAGGGGAAAACAGTAATTTATCTTAAATTGTTGTTACTAATTGCCATGGAATCAACTTCCACGCATAGTAAAAGAGAAGGCAGTGATGGCCAGACCTGTGCCATCTCCATAATCATTGGTGTGGCCCATCCACTATTGCAGCCACTGTGTATTTTTAGTGCCTTCCACCCTACAAGGACCTCAGATGGCCCAGTCATTAGGAGTGCAGCTAACCCAAAAGTCATACCTCTCGGGGAATTCAAATCTGAGGGAGAAGAATGGACAAATCTCCTCTTTTGCAATTTACAACCTCAGAATCCGCTAGATTTCCAACTTGAAGGAAGTGAGCAAATGAATCCAAACTAGGAAACTCATCCTCCAGCATTAAATCAGATCATATTCTCTTTTCAGCCACAGAGTTTTCATTAGGTAGGTTTCTTCCTAGCCTGCCATAGACTAGAAGCTCCACTAAAGACTGTCGACCAGGGGTGACCCTGGCATATTTGAAACGCTAGTGGCACAGCTTCTAGCATCGTACTGACAGACTAGCATCACGGTGTGACACCCTGATGGGAAATCAGCTTATCTTAGAAGGAGACAATATTTTACTAATTTTTATATGCAGCCAAGGCCAGATTGCTTTCAACACTATAGGATGTCTCTATAGCCAAGCCATTTTTCACATGAGAGAGAATCTGATTTAGATTTCCATCCCTTCCGTTTGTTTATGTTCTGACACAAGGAGCAATAGCCAGCATTGCTAGTGGGAATATGGGATGGTGTAATGTCTTCACCTAAGCCATTAGAATGCTCCTAGGCATGAAGACTCATGCTTCCTGCAGGGTTGTTGTGGTGGTTGTGTAAATTAGGTGAATGAACATGTGAAATAGTTCATGGCAAGCCTTTAATGAGGTGATATTTGGATATCTTTTCTTAAGGAATATGAAATTCCTTAATTTGAGCCTGAGGTTAAAACACATATGTGGCATATCTTAAGCATTACTGTTGAGTGAGAAAAGTTTGAGGACCCCTTCTATTCCTTGGAGGAGGATATGATATGAGTACAACTCATCCCAACTCTATGAACAAAAGATCTGAGCCCCATTCTAGTCTATACCATCCTCACTCTTCACGACACACAAGAGCCCAGTGCAGCAGCCACAGTATCATTCCACCCAGTCAAGGGTCTCCTCTCCTTCATGGACCCTTCCTAGCATCATATATACAAAAAAAAAAGACACAAACACCACGCAACACCACAAACCCAACCCTGAAAACACACAATCACAAAACTTACACGCAAATTGTTCATAAAAAGCATTATCCAACCCAAAAGTGGGAAGAACCCAACTGTCCATCAGCTAGTAGATGGATAAGCAAAATGTGGAGTGGAGATGTAATTGTAAACTCACTGCTGTCGAGTCACTTCCTGCTCATAGTGACCCCCGATAGGTAAAAGCAGGACTGCCCTAAGAGTTTCCAAGGCAGAAGCCACATCATTCTCCTGTGGAACAGCTGGTGAATTCAAACCACCAGCCTTGAAGCTGAGGGGTTAGCCTCTATACCACAGGGCTTCTGCTGTATCTATACAATGGGGTATTATTTGGCCATTTAAAAAAAATAACTACTGATAAAGGCGCCCACATCAACAGAGAACTACCAGAAGTCCAGGCTGGTTTCAGAAGGGGTCGTGGTACTAGAGATATTGTAGCTGATGTTAGATGGATCTTGGCTGAAAGTAGGGAATACCAGAGGAATGTCTATCTGTGTTTCATTGACTATGCAAAGGCATTTGACTGTGTAGATCATAACAAACTGTGGCTGACTCTGAGAAGAATGGGAATCCCAGAACACTTGATCGTTCTAATGCGAAACTTATACTTAGACCAGGAGGCAGTCGTCAGAACAGAGCAAGGGAACACTGCATGGTTCAAAATTGGGGAGGGCGTATGCCAGGGATGCATCCTATCTCCATACCTTTTCAACCTATATGCAGAACAGATTATCCGGGAGACTGGGCTCTATGAGGAGAAATGTGGGGTCAGGATTGGTGGACGATTTATCAACAATCTGCGTTATGCGGATGACACAACCCTGCTTGCTGAAACTGAGGAGGACCTGAAGCGCCTGCTGCAGAGTGTCAAGGATTGAGGCTCAATGTCAAGAAGACAAAGATTCTCACCACTGGACCAATCGGCAGCATCAGGATGGATGGTGAAGAGACTGAGATTGTACACAGCTTTAGTTTGCTTGGCTCCATAGTCAACAGTCTTGGCACCAGCAGCCAGGAAATTAAAAGGCGCATTGCCATGGGAAAGTCTGCTGTTAGGGACCTCTCCAAAGTGCTGAAGAGCAGTGGTGTCTCTCTGGAGACTAAGGTGCATCTGATACAGGCCATGGTCTTTGCAATCACCTGTTATGCATCAGAGAGTTGGACAATGACCAAGGAGGATAGAAGGAGAACTGATGCCTTTGAGCTGTGGTGCTGGAGAAGAGTACTGAGAATACCATGGACTGCTAGGAAAACAAATAGATTTGTCCTGGAGAGGGTTAAACCGGGTGGCTCCTTGGAGGCAAGGATTCTGAGGCTCCGTCTAACTTACTTCGGACATGTAGTGAGGAGAGACCGGTCCTTGGAGAGGGACATCATGCTTGGGAGGGTGGGG